TGAAAGTGTGTGACAAGTAGGTGAAAATTGCAATGTCAAACATGTTGTAAAAAGAAATTTATATTTTTAATGTGTTTCTTATATAATAATACGTGTAAACATAATTTTCTATTTATATTATTTGGTAACCTAAGATCGACGCATATTTAACATTGTGTTTATTTCCGAAATAATGCGTCTTAGGTGATCGATTATTTCTTTAATGTGCCTATTCTTTAATATCACTTGCTGAAAAAGAAATAGACTCCATTTCTTATCGATATTTAATATAAAAATTATGTATTAATGTAGATAATATAATTTTATTCTCGCCTCACCTCCATGACTTCCTTTCTCTCCTCACAACTAAGTCTGTAAGTTTCCGAAGTTTTTTTCTCATCAGATTTCATATCCCATTCCTCTTTTAACGGAATTAAACTTTCTATATGCGTATATTCCATTCCTTGCAGTTGACAATTCTCGTTACATTTTTCATATATTAATCTTAAACGTTTAAACATTATTTTGATCATTTCCAATTGTTCATAGACTTTTTTCTTTTTTTCATTTGCCATATTCGCTCCTTGTGCAGTACCTACATTCGAAAATAATGTATGTACAAAAAAATGTATATTTGATGATACTGTAATTATTTAGTTAGAAAAATAACCATTGGGTGGTTGAAGGACTTTGAGAGTTTGAAAAAGCTCTAAAGTACGACTGACGATTTCCTGTACAGATTCTTGTCCAAATCTACATAAACTAGCAGTATTGAATTCCTTAGTTTGCTGTTGTCGCGGTGGTGGCTGTGTGGGTGGTACTGGAGTTTGTGGTGTTGTGGCTTGATTATTCGTTTGATTATTCTGTTGAACCATCGCAGCCTGTTGCTGCTGCTGCAATTGTAATTGTTGCTGCTGCATCTGCTGCATTTGTTGTTGCATTGCCATGGACTGTTGTTGTTGTTGCTGTTGTGCCAAGACTTGTTGGGAATTGGGCATTCCCATGGCATTAGATCCAACATTACCAACACCTACTCCAACTCCAACCCCCATACCAAATTGTTGAGAGCTGACCATGTCTAAAACAATAGTTAATTGATTTTTAGTTTATAATTTGTTCTCAAAGTGTTGTAGACATTTTATAGACATTAGATTATATTATTCACAAATATTTCTATAGATATCAATCCTTTACCAATCAATCAACCTATTTTACTTTTTAAATATAGCTTTTAAACGAATTAGAATTCATTAAAAATAATCTATTATTCTCATAATAGTTAAAAAAATTGATATACACTTAATACTGTATATGTACTTAATAAAGAATCTAATTCGCGAAATTACTTGAAATTATTAAAAATTCTTACTCAGAAATAATCAGTTAAAATGCAGATTCTAACTTTGAAGATGAAGTCACAGTAATATTCCAATTATAAACTAATTTTTTACATAACATTGAGATATAAGTAGACAACACTATCGATCGAAAGTAAACAGACACGAAAATAAACATATATCCATCTCCTATTATTTACAAATTACATACAGTAGTATAATCAGATACACATATCGACATACGAAAAGGAATGAAAACATTACAAATAGGAAGAAATTCTTCAAACACGTACTCCCTTGCTGTGGCCCCATTAAACCAGAAACCATTTGTCCGCCACCAAATTGTGTGCGCATAGCTGACTGCTGCACATTGGGAAACCCAGATAGAAAAGGATGTTGTTGTCCAGCCATGTGTGTTGTTTTATTTATAAATAGTGTTTGTCAATTGATTATTATATCTGCTATAACAAGAATCAACATACTCAATTAATTATCACAAAAAAACAACACAGTCAATTAATTATAATTTTGAGGTTATATCACGTTGCATGTGCCCACCGGCTGTAAATTTAACTTGCAAACATTATTTTTACTAAGGAAACTTTGCAATTAATTTTACTAATTCCACACTACAAAGTATTTTACATGAAAAATAAAAGAAAATCTGTCATGTTGTCTAATTAATTGTCAAATTGATATCGAATTTTTCGAATTTATAATATCGTTGAATTACCTGATTAATATTACTAATTCGACAAGTGATATCACGTTATTTACAAGAAAATCATGTGGAAGTCTTTCTCTTCGATACACGCATATGAAAAATCGTCAAACAAACGCGTCTCTTTTCGTCACGTGAAGGAATTGTTGAATCAGTTGAATGCATCGCTCAATGTATTCACTCTATGCAGGCACTACAGTTAGTTATTTTTATCATTGCACTTGTATGCACTTTCTATTTTTTCCATTTGCAAGCAACAAACGATTTGGTAATGCGATATAAACTTATAAGACGTACGTGTCCTGTATGTATAAATGATAATATGTCGATATTTCATCGACGCGATGTTTCGTGCAACAATACCTACTATTGATAAAATATATTTCTGTATCTGCTCTGTCTAGAGATCTTGTAGTAAAGACCGCAGAGAGAAACCTGAAAGTGGACATCTCGGCCTTTTTCATGTATCAAACCTCGTAGGGTAATGTCCACATTTTTGTGGTTCTTCTCTATGTTATTACGTGGATTAAACAAGGATGAACGATCAAAGTTGATTATTTGTGTTTGTCTAACTATCTGTCTAGTTTTGTGGAAACTATCCAGAGAAAAGTTTCTTTGATTCAAAGAAATGTTACCTTTCTTTAGGTATGTGAGAGAGAGAGAGAGAGAGAGAGAGAGAGAGAGAGAGATGATTTTATTTTATTTTTTATTTAGCTATTTTTCAATTATATAGTCGTTTATAATATACGAAAAGTTAAAAAAAATTATGGTAAAAAATGAAGGAAATATAATTATAAATTTTATAATGAAAAAAACCTACATTTTTAAGTTCTAACAATTGTACAAAATTGTTAGAACTTAAAAATGATATAGTTTTTTACAATGATTTAAATAATACTGTACAATGATTTAAATAATACTGTACAATGATTTAAATAAACATTATTTGATAAACTTGAAACTGTATGCCTTAATATTTCTAAATACGAGTGAATTCAATAACATTCAATAAGAACAAAAATTAAACTAATAAATCAATCAACAATATATTAATTCTTATTAATAATTTATAATGATTCTCTAATTTATTCTCATATGGGGAAAAATGATTTTGAATGAACGCAAAAGGCTTGCATCTAATTGTCAAATTTGTTTACTGTTTATTATAACAAACAAATTTGCATGTTATTTGATAAATATTTTTTGCATTTGTTGCAAATAATCTTTTATAGCGAGTACAGAAAAGAATAAAAATTTGTTACACCTGCAAATAATTTGCGACCCTTATTTGCAAATGGAATTTGCCGTTATGGCATAGGATTAGCAGTTATTGCAAATTTTTTCTTCACGTGCAATTCTTGTAAAATTAACGAATAATTTTTTTGCTTAATAAACGATAATTATCAAGAGCTATAATATAAACTAATAATTTCCTCGAATGCATACGTTCTAATATTTTTGAAGAAAAAATATTTCGTGGGAAGCGACGTTTGAAGAGGAGATAGGGTCAATGCACAGGGAGTTAAGGTGTGGAACATAACAGTCCAATTTGTCGTTCTCCGGCAATCTCGTTCGTTCGTGAGCTTAATTTTTTCCGTCAGTATCTTCCGCGGCACAGCCGCAATCGTCACAGATGCGTGCTTGTTCGCGCCACTTTCTAGCGAGGAAGACTAATTCACACGTACCGCACTCAAAGAAAATCCCGTTAGCTTACAATTAGTAGAACAATGTCAATAAGCTGGCTAACGATTTTCCTGCTGTTGACAGATTTTATTCTGATAAATAGCGATCATCATCTGTGAGTAGTATTGATGCGGAAGGTAAAGGAACAGATGATAATGAGACGAAAGATGTTAATCTTCCAAACAGAGGATCTAATTCGTTATTTAAATTTAATGATTTTGGAGTCGATGGAAACTCAGAAAATTCCGATCTTCTTCAGTCATCAAGAAACAAAGAGTCATCAGGAAGATGAAGGAATGTTTTCAAGGAGAATGGATTATTTGATTGATGCTTTATCGAAGATCCCACTTCAGTCAGACGTTTAATGGCAAATGTTTATAATGCCACGCAAGATAAATCTGCTTATTTACGAAACAGAATTTCTACAAAAAAAAGGATATTAATGGAACACCGACACGTCTTGATACAGAGCTGTCTTCGAAACTATCTTTCAGTGAAATTTCTGACAATTCATCAAGCAACGGAATATTTCACTGTCGAGCTATATGGGACGTTTATATATCGAAGATGAAGGAGAATATTCCTTCGTATGTGCATACATCTTGGGCAAAATGTTTATTCTTTCGAGTAAGAGATTTTTCCAAGATCATAGGAATAGTTTGCTTGTTAACATCGACGGTCATTAATTATCTTCGTAAATTAAACGACCCTATCATTCTTGCAAGTGATCGATTCAATATTCCGGCTATTTTAATTTTAAAACCCGGGCATGAAAACTATGATACACGTAATTAATAAAGCATTATTTTAATACGTGAGCAACAGACAGTTGAAAATAAAAATATTGAGTGAGTATCCATCTGTTTTACGCGATTAAAAATTAGTAACAATATAAAATTAATAATTAATCAAATAGATGAATTAGGGGTGCGGTCTACTTAACGCGACAAATGCTTTGAAACTTTTGATTGACCAAGAATTTTATTAATTGACCAATCAAAAAATGCTTTGAAGCTTTTGTAGTGTCAAGTAAACCGTAGCCTAAAGTAAGATAGAGATTGTAACGAAATTATCATATATATTTTGTATCGCATAAAATTTGATTATAGCGTACTTTCTCGATGATTTATCTAGTTTCAATTAATATTACTTGCGATATTATTTATATACGCTTGTATTGTTTAATTGTACAATATATATTTACACAAATGGTAGGTGGATGTAGTGAATGTAAGAGGAAAATTCAATACATATATTTTTTTATTCACTAATGTGAATAATTCTGCAACAGCGATTTTATTAAAGACATTTAAAAATAACTTTACATAATAGTTTTGTCACTAACGTAATTTACAATGTGCAAACAAACTTCACAAACTGGAGAGTAGTAACAGCTATTTAAAATTGTATTCTGTATTCATAATATAATGAAGTATTTATGATAGCATAAAGGAAGTTTTATTATAAATAATACAAACTAAAATTATAAAAACGTTCCTCTTTCACGCAAGTAGCTTGACGCTTATCATTTTATAGCATACAGGATATCTATAATCAGTTACACTTTTCTTCGATTACAAATAGATACGTAGATACGTCAAAATTATTTCCTTGTAATGAATTTTGTAATAGGTTTAATTAAAGTGTAAAATTACTTTTCGAAATAATTTTTAGAAAAATTATTTTAATTACTCTTAAATATCGAAAATTAACGAGACAAATATTGCTTTCTCGTAAAGTTTGCACAAGAAATATTTTATCCTGAGATTTCTTTGAAGAATCTACGATTGGAAAAAAATGTAAATGATTAAGAATTTTCGATATTATTGCAACAAATAAATTATAAAAGAATTGAGCTTAAAAAATTTTTAACACCTAATCCATTGCATTTTCGTCGGTAGGCTGTGTAAAGTCTTTCATTTCATTTTCATTTGGAAAATTGATGGGTGAGATTTTATCTACATTTGACAAAATTTTTGTTGGATTTAGTATCTTAAAAGGCGGTTCGTTTTTATCAATTGCAGCGACATTGTGTTCATCCAAAGATTTCGAACAATCCGTATCTCGAGGTACTTCTAGCAGATCTATTTTCACATCGAGTGGTTTCTCTTGAATTTTTTCAATTTTAGATGTAAAATCTTTATTGGTTTCATTTTCGTTTGGCAAATCGATAGGCAATAATTTATTTACATTAGACCAAATTGTAGCTGGACCTTGCTCTTTAATTGGCAGTTCCTCTTTCTCCGCTTCGGGTGTAGCGATATCATAATCTAATTGTGAAAAGTCACTGTTTTGAGAAATTTTTGGCAGATCTTCCATTCCGTCGAATGGAACTTGCACTTTCATTGGCGCGATAAAATTGTGCGTTTTATGTTGATTATTCTTGGACGAGCCGGAATGTCTGAGACTTGGAGCGTAGAGTTCATTCGGTTTGGTCTCTTCTTTTTCCACTTCGATCGCCAGTTTTTTCAACTCTTCTTTTTCTTCGTCGGAGAGTGGATTAACCTATAGAACATTTTAAAAATTTATTATTTTACAAATAACAAGTATACATAATTTTAAACATTTCTTGTTCTTTTATCGACATATATCTAGAAATCCTATTTGTATTGAACTTTATATATATGAAAGATTTGAATAAATAAAGTAATTGACCTTGACGAGAAGCGTTTTCTAATTGTTGCATTAAAAATAAGTCGAAGATGTTTATTCATTTCTACATTCTAATACCGGCTTATAAAGCTCAATCATCATTCTTGATGATAGGATCTTTAAATGCGTCGCCGCATATCGATGAAGCGACAAACATCATATAATTCAAAGAGATTTTTCTTTTAGATTATATGTAAACGTCAAACAAGATAGATGTACGGAAATTGAAAATGCGTTATATTCAAATTAGTAATTCTTTTCCTTGGAATTAAATGCTGTTTGCCGCAGATACAATTCACATGAAGCAATCTTTATTTTTAATGATAAAAGGTATTATAGGATGATAAATGCTCATTGAATCACCGACATTGAATCACTCTTGCGTCTTATTCTAAAATTTCTCCGAAACTAATACAAATTAATCGTTTTCTGATATTTTTTTGCAATTTTGTTTTTTTTAAAACTTTATCAAAACAAATGGATTTGATTAACTTCAATTATGATTAATTGACTATTTATATATTTCTACCTTAAATTCAGGTCGTTTTCTAGAACTCTTTTGCCTAGATCTTCCTCGATAACGTCTACGTGGCCTGCTTTCATTATCATCAGGTAATGTATAAATGGTTAGAAGCTTTGGTTTGTTAGAGTCTCCTGACTGGTTATCATTGGCAGTGGCGAATGAACGACTTTCCGCTGCTCGAACATGCAACGGATAAGCATGTTCTCTTTTTGATTCTTCCAAAAGTATGTCTATGCTGTCGTCTTTGAAATCGTCAGGCGAGAAATTGTCGTGAGCAAGAGTGTGATCTATCTTCTGTAAACTCTATCGTATGGTATAAGATTAACATGCAGTAAATCACCAGTATATTGTAATACTTGCAGTAAACTGTATCTCAATTTACGCGGCACTTGTGATTTACTTTAAAGATAAACCGATATGTTTCTTTTATAATAAGTAGCAATTATTTTTGTATTTATATGTATTTTTCGTATTAACAGAATATTGATACCTTAACCGAATTTGATGTCTCTCGGAAAGCTTCAGCCAATTCGGGATTTATTCCCTCCAACGGTTCATCTCCGTATCTTATATAAACGGGAATATAGCCTGGGATGCTGGGTAAATATTGAATGGGACTCGAATCTAGAAGAAATTGAACACGCTAGTTGAAATTACGCGGTGAGAAACAATGTGTGTGCTTAATACGGATGATTACGCTGGAAATGCTCACTTGGCAAGGCGAGCTTATTGGCTATGATAGCAATGCGGATATTTAATTAGTTAGACTAAGCGCTCAGTTAAATCCCACCATCTGTGAATCATAAACTTCGCAACCAATTGATTAAATTGATCAACTAGCTTGTGTTTCTATTGTGAAATGATTTAATTTCTTTAATTAAAGAATTATAGAAGCAAAAATTATGTATGCAATTCCTGATGTAGTTGCATTTCTTTCAATACGAAATTATTTAGATTTAATCAATGAAAATGATTCTTTTTTTTACAGATATTAATTACTGATTTTGACATAATATACATTTTAGATCGAACTTATTTTTTATAATTTTTTAAATAAAATTTTAATTCCAATTATTTATTTTATTTTAATTAAAATTTTATTGTTTTTTTTTGCATTTCGAGATTTATTCAAATTTATTTTAATGATTTTATTTGAATGAATAAATACAAATATTTAAACGTGGAATTCACTGAAAGAACTTAACTTAATAATTTTATAATTAAAAAAATTGCAATTTTTTATTTCATTAATATTTAATTGATATATTATTTTACTTGCATACAATTAAAATATATTAGGTGTTGGAATTAATTCGTAGCGTTTTTAAATGAAAGAATGTTATTTATTTCACATGAGCATTAAAAAATACATTAATGAAAGTACTTCCCATCACTTGTAAAACGCTACGAATTAATTCCAACACCTAATAGTAATAATTAAAAGATTCTCCTTGAATTATTTTGTAATTTAAGAAAATACGTGATTTATGTGATATGGTTTTTAAAATTTATTATTCGCGTTTTTTTAAATCTTGAAAGTAGCACACTATAGCTATAATCCTGAATTGCACTGCACAACACTAATCCTCCACAATGCGGTTGCATGTTATCACATATCAATACTCATCCGGGCGGGAATCTTGAACATTGTTCTTACTCACAGGCATAGCCAATGAGAGGTACCAGGAGTATCAGAAGGGAGATAGCCCTGGTACCACGCAGCGTCCCGGCAGCCTGCATCTTTGAACGGTACTGGGCCCCCGGAGCATGGGGCTCTCTCCTTTATATGTACGGTCCCCTACCCTTTGGCTAATACTACAGAGAGGCTCCTCGGGGTTAGCATCAGGAACGCCGTTCCGTTAATATCGAAACAAAAAATTAATCTCTTCTTTATTTTCGGCAATCGAGCCAAACGAGCGCCAAACTTATCGCAATTCTTTCTCTCTCTCTCTCTCTTTCTTTCTTTCTTTCTTTCTTTCTTTCTTTCCCTTTACGCGCCGATAATAGATTTCATACGACCGATCACCGCGTTTTACGCACACCATACAAAGTTATTTCAAAAGCTTTAATGGAAATGGATTTTATTTCTTTTATGTGAGATGTTTTTTTGATAATTTGAATAATAATTTGAATATTTTAGCTATAACTAATAAAATAATATTTTATAAAGACTGAAAATAAAGATGCATAAACATTAAATTTTTTATGCATTGTATTCTGTGTCATATTTATATAATAGCGAAATTATAATGCAATCACTTTTCATAATGCTTAAATGTACAAACCACCCGAAATCTAAAGCCTTGAATTTTTTCGATTGATATTGTGTAATTAATTATCAACGCATTTTAAAAATTGAAAATCATGATCTACAATATACAATAAAATCGTTGATAAATATCTATAATACATGAACTTAAATAGAAATACTTGCATACTATTTCTGTCTTATATATTCTATATATATAATAAATGCATTATATGACTTAGCAATTTACTTTGAAATTATCTACCGTAATACTTATATAAAATTTTACATGTCTTCTGAATATACATATAGAAAAGACATTTTTTACATAAACATCTATTATTGACGACGAATCTCTGACTTGTAAAAAACTGCACGGACAGCATCGGACAGATGACAGGCTTCCTTTTCTACTCGCAATGATGAAGCAAGCGTTTTGATGGAATCGTCTTGTACTGAAGCAAGAACGTTCTCTGAAATATGACAACGGCATCGACGAACGAGAGATAGATGACGTTAACTTAAGATGTCATTAAATGCCGCGAATCTTTTCTCACCTTGATAGGATCTTAAACTATTAAAGTTCATACTCACAAGCATACTCACACGACAATCTACCGTTAACCGAATCATCTTTTTCTCGCTAGACTTCACCTTCTAAAATCTCTTTCGCATTATTATTACACCGATATCGTAGACACAGTTCTGTTTCTTCATTTCGTAATACACACACAATGACAGTATATACAGTGAGTGCAAAAAGTATTCGAGGAAATTTTGTATAAAAAAGCCTTTATTTGTAGAAAATAAATTAATTAACAATTTTATACAATGAATACATATATATATACATTCTATACATAAACAAACGAGTTTCGTGTATTTTCCTGATTTTAGGAGCTTAATTTCTCGACTGTACGAAGTACAGTTTTTGAGCGTCCAAACAATACAATTTTTTATTTTCACTTATTTTTAAGACATATATTTTTTATAATTAATACACATCTTTTTGGTGTATATAATTTTGAGAAACATACTGCCTATTTTATGTTTTATGAATAAATTACCCAGCAAGAAATGACTGTCAATTAGATGATGAATCGCCGACGAATTGGTGTCAAAATCATTTTACCACAATTCTCTCTCTATATTGATATCGTTTTGATATTAATTCAATAAGTCATTTCTCGCTGGATAATGTTTACTTTTTAAAAATAAAGTTTTTTTTTAAATATTTTCTCTGTATAAATATTTTTTGCATTCACTGTATATATTTTCATGACACTTCATGGATGATACGATATTTTGACATTTAGATTTTCGTGTTTCCTTTTCGTTACTTTTTTCTATTGCGTTTTTTTTTCTTGCACTAAGAGAACAAAGTTGCTGTTTAAAAAAGAAATATTAGTTGATTCAATTAAATACGACGGTCATAGGCTGTCAAGCAAATATTTGTTAATTCAAACAAATAATATGTTGCAATATATTTTACCTAAATATATAAATACTTGAACTAAATGATTACTACGCAATTAATTAAACGCATTTAAAATCAACAACTTCTTTCTCAGTGTATCTTTATTATTGTGAAAAACATTAGGTTTTGCAAGAGTCAACAATTTATATTTCACGTTGTCTTGATCTATCTACATATTATTTATCGATTTTGTTTTTTCTTATAAGATAATTCAATTAAGCTGAGAATTCAAATTAGTTGTTATAAACAGCCCTTATAGAAAAAAAATCTAATATTAACCAATTTAATACCAGCCAATTTATTATTAAAAGACAGTAATTAAATTATTAATTTGGAATAAAAAGTGCTTTTAATACTTAAAATAAATAATTAATTACTATCTTTCAATATTAGAGTTCTGTAAGGGAGGTATTTTGGTAAGACACTTTCCATGATGAAAAAATGTTTCTTTTATAATAGATGACTAAGTTAAGTGAATGGTAATTCTTAATTTTATAGTCGCGGATTCAAATGGGAATGTAATCATTTTGGTATAAATGCGTTATCGTGAAAAACATAATTCAGATAACAGCGCCAGTGCGCGAAGGAATTAATATGAAATACGATCCGCTATTTATATTAGTACAAGTTAAGAATGTTAGCTGCATATTTCCCTCGCGGCATAATCCTGACACGAAATGAAGATAATCGCTTCATCTAAAAATATTTTAAATATTTTGCATATTTAAAAGTATTTTAAATAAATAAATTTTGTATTAAAACAAATTTTCTCAAAAGATTTGCTTCACAAAAACTCTGCAAGTAATAGCAAATATATCAGTTATCAATCTAGAAATTTTTTTATTAAAAAATGTATCTATATATAATAAAATAATTTTTTAAATGTCTTACAAGTAATTTTCTATAGATAATTACATTTTATCAGAAGATGATAGGATTTCTATTTCTCTATTCCTTTTAATTTCTCTCTTCTTTTAATAGCATCTTATCGCGATGTATACGAACCTTGAAAGTATTAATGTATCTTGGGAGAAAGGTCAGGATCACTCTATTCGACCCTCAGTCTTGCATGTTCATCAATGCATCTCTCTCGTAGAGGTGACGACAGGTGCAAGAATCATCTTCGCTTACTCGCGTGACAGCATCCAAGGAAGATTTAAAATTACGTCACTTTCCATTTTACGCCATTTCTACTAGTCTACCTTGATAGGCTGCGAAACAAGTCGCTTCGAATAACAAGTTGTACCTGCTCTTCCACTAGAAGTAAGCATCGACCGTATCGTTCATCTAAATTAATTCGCGAATAGAAATTTCTGTCTCATTAAGATTGTATGCCATACTATTAAATTTTTATCTAAATATTATATATATATATATATATATATATACTTTTTTATTCTTTTTGCGTAGATGAAAAAAATAATTTTATTGAAGTACCTAAATATTGGGTCATTTAAAAAGTATCCGCGGTTTTTTTATTCAAAAATTGAATATCAAATTTTATTCAATATTATTAGGTGTTGGAATTAATTCGTAGCGTTTTACAAAGTATTTATAAGTTTTAAAAGTACTTTCATTAATGTATTTTTTAATGCTCATGTGAAATAAATAACATTCTTTCATTAAAAAACGCTACGAATTAATTCCAACACCTAATATATATTATATATTAAATTTATATGCTTAGCACTTACATAATTATTTTAATGCCCAGCAAAATTATTTTTAGATTTGTATAATATGTAATTAAATTTTCAGATATTTCAGCAAAATTGTGTACTATATGCATAATTGATGTGATAAGAAGAATAAGAAAGGAAAAAATAAAAAAATATGAAGCAGAAGTTATATAAACAAAATTGAAGTGGTACATGGTTTTACACAGTCTAATTAATTTATTCTAAATTTATTATAAAATAAAGAATTTTATTTATATTTCGAAAGTTTTTTTCAAAACAGGGGATAATTCCCACATTGCACAATGGGAAAAAATGGAACCGTGTCATTTTTCATTTTGTAATAATCGTTCAATCATAGCATATCACAGTTGATCACCGTCCCGTTTCCGCTTGATCGAATCGAGCAAGGGAAGGTAACTGACGAATATAGACAAGTAAATGTGCGCATGTACCTCGTCAGATACGTGCGTAACCTCTGTAATAAAATAGCATAATAGTTTATGAGCTTATATACTTATAGCTTGGATTCTAGATTTTGGAATTTTTATATGCAATTACGTTGCAATGTAGCGACAAAATATATAGTTTTATAATATAATTCTCCTGAAAGAATTTGACATTATAACGATCAGTAGCTATATAAATGATACACAAATTGCATAATTATAAACTGCTGATAAGCGCTTATCACACACACATTACTAATGCTAAACCTGTAAGATTATACATATATCGCAATCAGAATAGGCAATTACAATAATAAATCAGCAGATAACTTCTAACAGTAAAAATATATAACAAGCAATCTCACGAAAATATTGATGCTGTAATCGGTCAAGAAAGAACGCATTAACGGTCAGAAACATGTCGACATTAAAATGTAATCGCACTTGGGATTAATTCGTGACGCGTTGTCGTGGCGACTTATGAGAATAATTGCTAGTCTTCAGTCGCGCCTATGCCGTCTCTGATCCTCATGCAACTCATGCGTGTTATGTCGAACGTGACGCGACTAGATCAATTGCAATTGGCAAGCAGGATGGCTTTATTGTAATCTAGGCCGTTTGGGATTATCAATGAAGGTCGCCGAATACTACATATTCTTGGTTTGCTGATTTTATATCGTCTGATTTACGAGATTCGATACATCTGATTATGTTTCTGCCACTCTTTCGCTTTCTCAAATGCGTTTGTCTTCGAAAATCACGATGACCTCAATCCTTCCGGTAATATCGATAAAGTAGTACGCGCAGGTGAATACGCGGTTATTGCATGCCAATTGGTTAGCACGGAATTCCCATTTAGACTGAGAATCACTTATCTAAAAAAAATGTTACGCCGCCATCGAGTGAGGAAAAAAAGAACGCGTCGTCGCGACGCGTATGAGCGAAAAAGGAAAACGTTATATGTGCGTTGTACCACGATATCGCGCGCTTCCCTTTTTAAATTCCAATCGTATGCAACCGGTTCCCTTTACGACCATCTGAGACTCCCGGAGGATTAAATTAAAGCCTGATCGTGTGCTCTAATCGCCGGCAATCTTGAACCACGCGGCGCTGAATCGTAGAAAATGACGTGCAGACTCCGCGCCGCGGACGACACAGTAATATTTCATCCTGTCCAATCGCTATCTTATCGTTATTACAATTATTGCCGATTCTAGACAGATACTAACAGGTGATCATGCTTAAGAGTTCAGAACTGAGTGCTCTCGTTGATAATGTATATGTCACTTGACATATACTTCTATTTTGCGTAGACGTGCCTCGAGTTGCACTAAAATAAAATTACATCCGAGTAAAACTGCATTGAAAGAAAAAATTGGCTGAATATGGCATGACATTTTGTAATTGGTTGCAACAGCCAATTAAAAATGCTATGCCAATTTCACCATCTAATTTACTGTAGCAGCCAATCTTTTCTATCAATATATAGTACATACTGTGCTATTAATACTCGGTCGTTATAATTAAATTTAGGACATATAATAATTATTAATTCCACTTTGATCCTAATAATTAAACGTGGATACATCTATAATTAATTTACATTAATTTAATTAATTTATATTAATTAATTGAAAACTTAATTTATTAATGTTATTTCTCATCCGTTTATGTAATAAATCTAAAAAGTAGCTATACATAAAATTATGGATATAAAGCAATTTCATTTAAATATAAGATAAGTAAATACACGCTTCTTTCAATGATGTATGAATACTAATCTTTTTTTTTTTTTTTTTGCGTAAGATATTTGCCTTGAATTAGACATTCAAAGATCAAGATGAGCCTATAAAAGATATATTCGATATCACGTACAATCAAGTCCGACGGAGCATGTCGAGCGTAATTCAACGAACGAGTGCAAAGGTTAATAGTGATTATACATTATTATACACGATACTTCTTATTTCGTACAAGTGAGATTAGACGACTTACTCTCGCACACCTGCGGCGAATGTATCTAGGATATGGGTTTATTCACTTGCCCGGCGTAATCTGCGGTAACGTCATTAAATTACCGATAGCGCTGATATATACTGTCGTTACAAAAAGTGAAATAATAAAGTAGTGGATTAAGTCGCGTGCTACAATCGACAGTGATTAATGTTTCAAATGGTTAGACGTGTTTTCTTTTCAATTCTAGAGTCTATCGAAAGGGATAAAAACTGCTAATATTGTTGGTGAACATATCATTTACGATATCTTTGTGAAATATTTGCGTGTAAAGCTAACATTTTCGTGTATATGATAGTGACTCAATTCACGGAAATGTTATTTCATGATTGTATCATTGAATCTTTATATGACAGTTCGATTATAATCTTGATGATTTATAGTCTTTTTATTTTCTACCATTTAATACCGTGTCGTTCGTTGACATGATACGAAACCGTTAATTAGTTTCAGTCGTAGAATCCGGTTTTAGCTAGAACAACTTCCTTATCAATCTTGGGATTAGCTATATTGATTTATGGATAGAAACCTACATTAACCTGTCACGATTATTTTTAATGATAATTTTATGATTTTTTGACGTTTTATTAACGGATGTAAATAGTCTGAAGGTGCATAAATTATTATTAATACAAACAGTATTCTTATTTTATTATAAAATTAGTTACCAAGTTTGCAATAGATTACTTTTGGAGAAAAACATCTTACATTTACTTTTTATTAAATATTTTTAGTAAAAAATTCATATATGTTTAAATATTTGTACACTGAGAAAAAATAATTTTAAAAAATTACTAATAACAATGGGAAAGCGAATATAAAATAATTTCCTATTTGCTTTGCAAAAGGAATTTTAAAAAATTTCTTTACATATAATTCACGAAGCGCTTATCTGCTTCAAAGCAAACAAAGAATTATTGTACCTACATTTAAAATCACGTATAAATAATGGTAGTGTTAATATCAAATTGAAAAGTCTTAAAAAATAGGAAAGGTAAATACAATATTCAAAGTACACTTGAGATATTTAATAATAATATGTATTGAAAGTGGCGCGCTGCACATACGAATTTTTGGTAGTTTCGGAGCTCCCTGAAAGAACTCGAGGGAAGCCACCGAACGTATAATTACTTTGCTCGTCCGAGGGAGTTTTTATGATCTGTCCCTGGTTCGCCCAGTTTTTCTTGGCAGAGCGGCTTGGTCGCGAAATCCACAGAGCTTGCCGGCCGGTGACGGTCAACGACCAGAAAATACGCTCGATTGTATTATAGAAGAAGAGTCCTTGCCTATACGATTGATCGGAGTCAATGGGCATTTGACGACCCGCAGACCTACATTTTCTTGCTGTTGTGTGCCATTGCTCTCACAAAACCGTCGTTACTATTATCCAGAATTTCAAGAAAATGACAGATTTTCAAAATTTACATTGCAAAATTCTAAAAGATTTGGATTTCTCTGTTCCATCTAGATTCATTCAGTTTTGCACAGGCCTAATTAAATGAATTATTTTAAAATAATATTTTTCTATTATACGAAGTTTTGAATAGGGCTGTACATATATTTGAAATACTTTTATTTAAAACACAGTTTTTGCAATACAAGCGTATTTTGTATTTCAGCGGAGCACATAAAAGTATTGGATACGTATTTTGTATTTAAAATCAAAAGATTTATGTATATTTTGTAATTTAAATAATAAGATTCATTGTCAATTTCAGTATTTAAGATACAAAATACAAAATACTTGTTTTTCAAATAAAAGTATTTCACATACATGCCCAAGTTCTGGTTTTGAAATAATCGATTTTAATTTGTGAATAGAATTACATATATAATTTCTTACAAAAGATAATAATTTAACAAATTAGACATTATGCAAATTAGACATTATTTATTCTATTATTTTCTTATTTTTATTTACGTATTCTCATGTCTTATTTTTTACTTTTTGTCAAATCTTTCTTGATGTAGATCTCCTGACCTTAATTTTAATAATAGTAGCTTCAAAGGTGAAGTCTAGAGAAATGAAAAGTTGATTGTAAGTGAGGAGAGAGAGAGAGAGAGAGAGAGAGAGAGAGAGAGAGAGATAAAATAAAGAAAATTTTAAAGAATCTAAGATGCAATCTATAATTGTTGTAGTTACGACCGTGAAATTAACAATAAAAAAACTAGTTGCTGACGCATATAGTAAATGATCAGCGGATAAGCCGCTTTAGTCGGCATGAAACGAATTACGTTCTTTATATTTGCTCTTCTCGTGCTTTGAACGTGATGTTCTTATTTTCGACAGTTAATCATACCGATAAGGTTGCTGAAGAGATCGTCGGCTTGAAGTGCGAGCGCGCCCAACTATATCGCGAGATGAATACGCCTGTCCGATGGAACCCGCTTCCGATCGCGGTTCGATCCGGTTTCGCGTTTCGGCGAGTGATTCGTTCCGCGCCGGGTATTCTCTTTCTCTCTGTCCGAATAGATGAAGAAAGGAATCGAAAGACTTTACCGTTACATTCATTCAACTCGCGCCGTAATTACTGTTGCCACTCGCGGCTACGGACAGAGTCGGCCGACGCATCGCTGAGATCGTTCCGCGGATGCTGCGGTGCCGTCGCTATAATACCGATCGTATTTATAGAGAGCCCGGTTATGGCTATGGCGTTTAAATCCCACCGATAGAAATACGCGTGAGTTACTTATGACGCCAATCGCGGAACGTTATGCGAGAAAAGAGCCGAGCAAGATTATGGCGCCGCCGCTTGCGGGTACCAAGTGAATTACAACGGTTTGATAATGCGGAACGGGTTCCATGTGATATAATGCGGAACGGATGCGAGCATGGATTACGCTTCACAAACCTGGATGATGAACTTTATCGCTTGTCGTCGAATTATAATCTCTTCCACACGTTACGTCTCATACACATTGCGACTCTCATATTTTTTTCCAAGTTAGGCTTGATTCTGATTCCGGATATTGTATATTTAAAAGATAATTATTTTAATATCTTCGAAGCTGTGACGCGATTATATTATATTAAAATATTTAATTGTGCGAATTAAGTTTTTTAATATGATTACGTCAGAGAGAAGAAGAAATTTTTACAAATTAGCTTCCTCGGGATATAAAAATCTTCTCCGAGAAAACTTTCTGTTTTCACAGATTTAAGAATTAACGAAAAAGAGATGATAGCAATGATATATTATCTTATTACCATAAGTGCAACTTTATTATTGTTATTTATCGAGAAGTGTAGAAATTAATGGACTATTAAAGCCACGCGAGGAGGCAGATGCAACATGTCTCGTTAACACGCAGCGCTTCTTCTACTGAAATTCCATGAAAAACTAATCACGAACCTCGTAATTATTTCTAAGAAGTCGTTTACGTCCGAATAAGCAATGAATCGTAATTTTTGTTAGAGCCAAACCTGTTTTGTTATTTATTCACGACTACTGTGCGCCAGTTACACAAGTATGTTATACAAACGGATGAGGAGGAAACGCATTACAATATTTTAAGGTTATTTTTGGATATTGTATTGATACTCATAACGTTTATTTATGTAATGATTTATAGCATTCCAAAAATCTACGTTGTTTTTTGTACTGTACATGCATGTGTATTATACATGAAGGCAGCATAAATCATTAATCTCAGCGATGCAACATGTTTACGTGATTATGTATAGTCTGTTCATTTTTTTCTTCCCCTGAAAAAAGGAAATGGGAGTTTAAATTGATGCAAATGTAAGTTAATTGTCTTGGTTGATGAATTGTCTTGGCTAATATATTTACCAGCTTCCAGCTTGGGCTGACGCTTGGGCGGAAGCATACGCACCTCCACCACCATATCCGCCACCTCCACCACTTTAAATATAAAAAATTAAATAATTTCAGAATCATAAATTTTAATAAAGAGTAAAGATTTAAATATAAATCTATAATGAATACCATACAAGTATTGATCAATTACAAAATATTACCATACAAAGTATTGAAACCGCATACAAGTATTGATCAGTTGTAGAATATTACCCGCAACAGCCGCCGCGTCCACGATGACCACCATGATGACCACCATGACCATAATGTCCTGTAGAAACAGGTACAAGTACAACTGGTATCACTGCTGTATAACCTTGTTGCCCTAGACAAAGCGTGCCCCTGTTATGCGCAATTATGATGGAGTTTAGCAATAGCAATGTATATTAATATATAATTAGGATACGTGATATTTTTTAGATGTTATATTTATTACTGTTATTATAAATTGCAAATTTCAGCTGAAAAAAGCTAAGCAAGTTTGTTATTGTCAATTAACGTCTTAATCAAAATTAATATTTTTCTTATATGTAAGAGATTATTTAATATTATGATTATTATTACTATTAATATTATTTATTTAATATTTTATTAGTTAAAAAAATAAGTATTGTTTATATAGCTTCTTCCTTCCTTCAATTCGCTCGATGCTGCGTCCTGAAATTGTCATTAGTGTTTAAGCGTTATTTCAAACGAGTTCCTTGAAAATACTTATGATGCAGGAGTATGCCATTAATAATTTATTTCTCATTTTATAATTTATTTTTTATTTAACATAATGCAAAAATTGAGGAAAATATGCAATAATTGTCAAAAGGAAAATTAATTTAATCGAACATGCGTTTCAATTCTGAAAAAATATGCTCAACAAATTGTTCATTTTTACATCAATTAATGCAATATTTTGATGCAAAACTATTATTTTTTGCATAACTATTATTACTGATATATAAAGTAGTTATGTAGCCAATTTTCTGTCATTTATTTTTTACAGCTTATTTTTCCGAAAGTTTTATACCTATTTAATGCTAATTTTTTATTTAGAAAAGAATCAGTTTTAAGTTGTAAGTAAAAGGTCTATAGTACAAAAGTTTCAGGCATATTTCAACACTGAAATTAATAGATAAGTATTTACCGACATTCGTCGATTAGTTATACTCTTCCCCTTCGCAGTTATGCGACTATAATTTACCTTTGCTACCATCACCAGGATAATGCCCACCCCCGCTTGGATATCCACCTCCATTCGAATGCCTATCCCATCCCCCTCCACTACCATCACCTGAATAATGTTCACTCGAATACCCACCATGTCCTCCATATCTTCCACATCTCATACAGTAGGACCTCTTTTGACGGAATTTCTTCTGATCACCCTTCAAAGCCGAGTCTATCATACTCTGTGCCTCCGCCTTTTCCAATTTCATCTTAAGCACTTTCGTTTTGCTCTTGAAATCGATCTTGTCGACCTTGAAACCTTCGTCTTCCAATCCCTCCGCAAATTTGTCGAGGTCGACAGGTCGATGATTTTCTGATTCTTCATTTTCGTTATCTTCTACTACTAGGATGACAGAAACTAATGGCTCTGCAAGCACATATTTTTTATTCAAATCCCTTCTAAGAATTCTCTTAACTCCATTTGCTCTTGCTTATCATTTCTTGCAAGATACTCGTTAATTTACAAATAATAAATGTCAAATGAAATTTATGAAAAGATACGCCGATGAGATACGAGACATCATGTGTCATTCGTTGATTTATACTCACCTATTATGTCAGGTAACGTTTCTACGACTTCATTTTGAAACATTTCCTCCGATACATTGCTGCTGCTATTTTTTACAGCGTACAAATTAATTATATAGATTGTAGAATACTCTTCCTTCTCGTCTAAGGACGGCGCGGGCGGTTGCAGCTCGGTCGATAATGTGCGTTCCTCGTGTGCATTTACAGCTGGCTCTGATAATGGATGGTAAAAAATGGATTGATCATTATATGAACAGCAATAAGAAACTAATCGATTGATGTAAATTGGCGTATAAAGAATTTTAAATTGATGATTTCATTTACATGCCAATGTAAATTAAGTTAATTTACATGCATGCTTTCTGACATCAGTTTGTTATTTTTTAAAATAAACGTGATCTTGTCAGCTGCTATGAATAAATCACAAAACTCGTTTTAAATTCTCAAAAAAAACATTCAAATTTGTGACAAATGGATAGAAAACTGTTTGCAATAACAACACAGACAATAAGATTAAATTGAACATTTAGAATATATCAAATGAGTATTATTTGTATAAAGAAAATGATAATTCTGCAAATTTGCATGAAAAAAAAAGAAAAAAAACATTAAAATAGTAACGTTATCTAATGGCGAATTCAATTGGAAACACTAGTAAATATTAAACACACTGCATATTTAAAGCCGTTGTACACTGATTTAATTTGAATAAAAGTGATATGCAATTTCGAATTATAAAATATATATTTTACCTAATAATACAATAAAATGTATTGAGTATTTCAGGAGATTTAATCAGTTTCTACGTTATATACATCTTTACGTTATTTTTTGTGTATAACGGCTTTAATGTACGCACTGAGTGCGTCCAATCGAATTCGCTATAAGTAAGAAAAATTTGTGTTAGTAAACTTTGTAACTTTACAAAGTATTGTTTATGTCACTAAAGATTATTATAATTAAAGTTAATGCATTTAAATGCTAAATTCGTTTAATTATAATATTATTGAAATGTAAAGACTAAAAAAATTTTTTTAATTATTCCAAAGAAGTAAAACGTACATTGTATACGAAGAGATTTTTATTAAATATGATTACAACAATGCATTATTAAGAATTTCATGTACAATGTGATCTGTTCTCTTCTCACCTGGTAACGTCGGCAATCCGAAAATGACCGTGACAAACGTACACAGGAGCACTAGGCTAAGAGCGCGAACTTCCATGGTGTCGGGATTCGATGTTCTTAGGATGCACTGCATGCGAATCCTTTAATCTCGCCGCTTTTATAGTCACTTATCCGACACGCATTTGATCCTGATGTAATTATGTAACGTTCCATCTCCATCGCTTTTCTCCGCGCGTTGCACACCGCACCGCGCCGAGCAACCACTGATTTTTGGATTTTCCGAGGGAGTCCCCGGTAATATGCGCATGCGCTCTGACACTTTTCTTCGAGACGAAGATGCAATCATGTGCATCAACAAGAACATTATCAAGAACACCGAATGAAATTCAAAACGCAAAGGAAAACAATGAACTTGACAATTTAATATACACAGCCTGTAATTTCTGTGTGTACGAATAATTATTTTGTGGTTTTTCATCGTTGATTATTCTGATGATAATGTTAATGAAATTTATCAAACGAAATTCTTTATGTTATATCAATTCTTTCTGTTAGAATAAGAGAGTTCTCTCTTATTACCATAAAAATAATATTAATATTAATAAGAACAAAATAATTGGTATATGAAAAAGTGTGTAGCAAAAGTTAATAGCGCAGAAATTAATAGCCAATTAGCCATCTTTCATTACTTCTAAGGCGTTGTTAGATCATAAGGAAACGATGAAAATAATAGGAACGAATGAGAATCTGGTTGTCAAAGAGCTACTAAATGGTTACTTGGAAATTGCATCAACTAGTAATTATCTTTTCTGAACGCTTGCTTTATGCAGGACAAATACAAATAGGCGTCTTTATTTATTCATTAACTCATCATTAACCTAACCTAGTAATAATCTTTAATTATTCACATTTTTTATTTACTATTATATTTATCGCATATATTCTAACATACTTACGTAGCCTTCAGAAATCGTAGTAACGTCATTTCATTACTTTGACTAATAGTAGAATGATTCCCCGGCTGAGCTATTATTGTAATTAAAGAGTTTCCATACATTAAACGTGGAATGACGTTCGCTAGGATTTCCCGAACTCGAGCACGTATATTTTTTCTTAATTAGTGTTGAAATTGCAACATTTTCTCATGCTATTTAATAGATCTACATTTCGATACAAAAAAAAAACTATGAGATTTTTAAACATGCAATTTTGCAATCTTCGTTACTTGTAAATTAATTACGATTTTTTTCTTAACATTGTTATGTTGAGTCTTCTTTTATTAAATATCTGTATTGATGTATTAATTTTGAAATTGAATATTATTTTTATCAATTTATATTTCTTATTTTAATGCTTCTATTTTATTTTAATATATTTTAATACAAAATATTGATTATATATTGAATAGCATCTAGAATTACGATCAAGTTGCATATGCAAACCATCCGGTTAATATTTCTCTGTTTACTTGGATTAATATTTCTTCTTTGTTTGTAAATTAATTAAGCAACTCTCTTAACACTGTTATTTTGAATCATTTTTGATTAAAAACTTATGATGTGTTATAATTTTAAAACAACTATTATTTTTATCAATTTATATTTCTTACTTTAATGTTTCTATTTCATTTTAATTTGATAAAAACTATTGATTTTATAGTAATTAACGTTTAGAATTACAATCAAGTCGCACGTGCAAACCATCCGGTTAATATTTCCTGTTTGCTTCGTTGTGGTTAAAGTCGTTGCAATCACGTTATTGCGTGTCAATTTTGCTTGTGTGTAAATTTTCGCATATTCTATTCCATCATCGATCACGAAATGTATTACCTTGCTTATAAAAACATCGATACAAGTTTCTTAAGTGCATGATGTAACATCGTATTTTTTTTTTGAGATTTAACGACAAAAAATTAATTCAATACGTACTTTTATGATCAATAATTGTGCTTTGAGAGATCTCGCGTTTTGTAATTTACATTTGTGATAAGATAGAATTAGAAATAGTAACGATAACAAGTTACGTACAATTATCGTAGTAAACGACGTAATATTAATTTTTAATATTATAAGACAAGTATCTAAAATATTTAACAAAGCAAAATTATTAATTGATAATATTATTATAACAAAAATAATCACACATTATAGCCTCGTTTCTTTTTGTGTCGTAAAATATACAATATTAATATTTTTATTGTCACTGCTCATTCTTGCATCGCAGCTTTCGTACGCGTCATATGAATGTTGCAACATATTAATTAAAATATATCTTTTAATACAACACTTTCTACTGACGTCATTAATAACGCTCATCTGTAAGTGGAAATAATTAGATTTCCTAAGAAAATGTAATAGCGCTTGCAGATTTGGTTTTCTGGGATGATCCGTAATAGTAACTTGCGAATATTGTTACGAAGAAGGATCTGGTATACGGTTATTCGAATTGTGCGTAACTAAAAATCGCATGAATCTCCAACAACACAAATCATCTTCCTGTTGACTATAAAAGAATGCAGAGTTCATTTAGCCTTGGCTGAGATCGAGATAAATCAGATTTAGAAGTTATAATCGTTTTGATGATGGAGAGTCGTGACGAAATCCCCTTGAAGGAAGATGTCGATTCGAAGAAGGATCTATTTAATTTTTTTATTAACAGGTCATACATTTCGTAATAATCTACTAATGCGATATTCCACATTTTCAATATATAAAGGAAGAATGGAGCTTATGCATGTATCATCACTGCAAATAATTTATGGCTATAATTTACGTACCGCAGATCGTATGTACCACGAGTATGCAAATCTGTATAATTGCTATTATAGTATATAAAAATACGCAAAACAAGGTTATTTTGAAAATATTAAGAAATAGTATGTATATGCTTGTTTATATATTTTTTCTCACGATTCGAACTAATATTGGCGACACTGCACTGAGAAAAAAATATAGTAACTAAATATTGACTAAGTAAATATTTATACTATTAGGTGTTGGAATTAATTCGTAGCGTTTTACAAGTGATGGGAAGTACTTTCATTAATGTATTTTTTAATGCTCATGTGAAATAAATAACATTCTTTCATTAAAAACGCTATGAATTAATTCCAACACCTAATATATACTATTTAATATAAATATAAATATTTATACTATATTTTATATGCAGTAAATAAATATTTGTTTAGTAAAAAAAAATGATTGTTAAATCAAAATAACATTTGTATCAAATAAATATATCTTTATATTAATAAATATTTAGTTGGCAGTATTCAACTAAATATCTATTAAAATTGACTGTATTTTTTTCAGTGTGCATATAGACTGATTTAATGAGCATACAAACGAATCATAAAAACCAGATGATTAATAGATAATAAGCTTGTTATTACAATTGTTTTAATGTACACGCGTGCATACTGTTATAAAGATTTTTATCTTAAATACTTGATACAACAGGAACTTATTAATCTTGTACTCTGTAAAAAATATCGGTTAACACCTGTGCGGTGTTAATATTAACACCAACACAGTGAGAATTATATAGATACCACTATTTTTTAGAGTGTAAGGAGAAGGTGTTTTTTAAATCATGTTTTTAAAAATTAAATTATTTATTTTATTTTATGTAAAATAAATAAACGATAATATTATATATATAAATATATGTGCAAAATTGTTGAGCACGTGTGGACAATTATTGCATGATTCAAAAAATTAATTATATACTACAACATCATTTCTTTACTATTTAACAAATTAGTCATTTGTCTCGGTCATTTATTGATAACATCCTATGAATTTCCTTGAAAAAAAAATGCTAATTATCGTTGTTATATTATATCTGACATTATGCCACAATTATCACTAGTATGTTATTATCAAATAAAAATCTGTTGATAGTTTCAACCTTATACTCCGACAAATGTCAAGTTTGTTCTTCGTTAATTGTAGAATATAAATAATCGAATCTCTCGCGAATACCTGACCAGTTTCACGATTATTTTTGTCGTAACTTTTTGTTAGTCAAACTGAGACGATCAGTGAGTCAGTGTTGAGATGACCTTGAATCACATCGACAAGTATTCTAGAGAGAGAGAGAGAGAGAGAGAGAGAGAGAGAGAGTTATTTTGCCCTATCTATTTCGTATTCCTTTATCAATTTTACAATTTTTATAGATAATGATATTGTGAAAGGAGATGAATTATATTGATAGAGATGGACATTTATTATACACAAAACTCGATTTTGTTTCGTTTTTTATTTATTGCAAGTTTTTTTATTTATATATGTATTGAAGAGTTCTTTCTTCGCGCAATATTTCTAAGAAATTCGAATTCATGGAAAGATAAGTGCTATTTTTTTTTTAAATCCGTATATGATTAATTGTTATCTTTGATGGATTTCTACGAGGAAATAGCATGTTACTACGTCATTGTGTAATTTATTAAAAAATTAACTTAAATAAAAAATTATCTTAATTGATAAACAATTGGAAAAATAAATGCGAGATATTTATCATTATTTAAAACATTGATATTTCTTTACATTAGAGGATTTCTTAGAGGATATCTTACAGGATACCTTAAAGAATACATTAGAGAATTACCTCTTCGATGATCTTGATCTTGACATATGTCATAGAAGTATGAGAGTATTAAAGCGTCGCGACGCCAAATGCATAAAAATATAAAACGCTTGATCGCTTGACGTGTGAATGTCATTGCATATATATATTTTCGTGTCGTTGCTAATATATGTTTCTCATTTTCTTATAAATTAACTCTCATACACTTTTCGAGATGTACTTATATATATAAAACTCATTTTCAAAATTTCATTATTTTTTTTTGTATAATACTTTATATATGATGGATAGTGTACATAAGTCATCTTCCAAAGATTTTAAAAGTTATTAATAAATAAAGTTAAAAAAAAAATATCTTATTTCGTACACAATATATTAAAAAACTATCCTATACTCTTCCTGTTTGAGACGTTCGATTTTCCATGTGAAAGGAAATCTGTCTCACCTCCCTTCCTTTCATGGGGACAGATTTTTCACATGAAACGAAGGGAAGTCCACCCTAGCGACTTTCTTCTAGATAAGGGAGAGGAGGTAGAATAGACCTTGCTTTATGTGGAAAGTCG